TATTTTATCAATTTTTTTATTAAAAAAATGCTTATTTAAGTTGTAAAAAAATACTTATTTTGCTCATATGTCGGTCCATGGTGGACCTTAGATCCACCATAGAATTTGCCCACAAAAATACTTCGTAATAAATTAGTATTCCATTTGGTTCTACTCCCTCCGTCCCAAAATATAAGCAACACTTCACTATTTAAAAAGCACGGAAATTTTTATTTGTTTTTTCATTTTTATTGATTATTTGATAAAATAAAATACTTTTGTCACCACTTATTTTGTAGAACCTTTGACATAGTTTTTAAATATGCAAGTTTTTTTTATTTGTAGACAATTCTTTAAATAAAATGGATTGAAAAAATTCAAAAACTACTTCGTTTAGCATAATGTTACGGAGAGAGTATTAGCTTAAAAAAGGACACATTTGTTGAGTCCACATTTTTAATAACAAAAAGGACAACTTTTACGAACCCAAAATTGTAATATGCACTTCTTCTGTCTTAAAATGGGCTTCTCATTCACTATTCATTAAATCAAATTCTATTCACTTTGTCAGCTTATATATACCGATTTATTTCTTCTTTATGCTTTGATGTGTGATACTCTTTATTAACACTCCCGTCAAGTACTTATATACCCTCAAAGGATAATTGGATTAGGCAATAAGACACTTGAGTTGAACCACATTAAAAAATTGAATCCAATCGATTACTTTAGTTCAATTTAAGAGCTTATATACTGATTTATTTCTTCTTCATGTTCCGATGTGAGATAATCTTTAACACTCCTCCTCAAATGGACAGTCGGGTCATTTTGAATTTAACCGGTTGACCACTTGCAAATGGACTCCCTCTCTCCAGAGAATGAAAGGGTCGAAAGTGTCAACACCTAAAGGACTACGAATCGCTAGACATGGACTTTCAGATGAACAATTGAATTATATGGGCCACAGACCGTTTTCCATACAGAAAACTAGGCTAAAGACAAATGGACTGTTAGGAATGAATTGCTAGACGGAGACCTTAACAAACGAAGTGGGCTAAAAGTGGCTCTGATACCATGATAGAATTTAAGACTGTGTAGGAATAATTGGATTGAGAAATAAGACACATGAGTTGAATCACACTAAAATATTGAATCCAATCCATTACTTTAGTTCAACTCAAGAACTTATATACCGATTTAATTTCTCTTCATATTCCGATGTGAGATACTTTTTAACACGCTTCTAGTTACGTATATTTTTTATGTAGTTTTTGCATATATAACATTTATTTTTAAGTTTTACAAACAATATAAATCTAATAAATTCAATTGAAAATAAATTTAGTGAAGCATTATATTATAAAGCACCCTAGCACATTGGTTTTAGGAGGGAGAGAGACTCTCATATTGGGAGTGGAGCACGTGAATGTTTACTGTGTGTCTCCTGCCATGCATTATATAATCGGCCAAATGAGAGTAGTTGGGTTTCGAGTAAGTATATACCGAGTACGTATTCAGTAATCTTGCACGGAAGCTGTTGGTAGCTCAAAATGACATCACTACGTACCTTAATTTGATGCTCTCCTTTAACCGGTTTAGAGCAATGGAAATGGGGCTAACGCCCCCCCCCCCCCCCCGGCATCAACCACTGTTTGACGCTCAAAGGGCGTTAAACACTGCCACTGGCGGCGTTAAAGGGCGTCAACTTCCACCCGTTAAAGATTTGACGCGGCTCCATCCCTCTCCCAACGGCTCTTTTAGCCACTAACCACAAAAAAATTAAATTCAAATAAAAAACTTATAAATTCAATCAAAACAAACATATCTCTCACGCATCTCTCACTATCTTCTCTCTATAATTCTATCAAATATTCTTTCAAATATCTTTCTATTTATTATAATAATCTCTAAAATATATTTTAAAAAGGGGATCATCTTCATCCAAGATGAAAAGAGAGCTCTCATTTTTCGCTGTTTCGCCATGATGAGTTGTTATCAATGGTGGCAACAAGGCGAAAAAGAAGAATCAGAATCCTCCCGACGCCGGACCCGATGACAACGTTTAAATCGGGATCGAGCGGCTGCCCACGCTTCACTTCTCAACGACTACTTCAATACTTCGTGTATTTATACACCGGAGGATTTTAGTAATCATTTTCAGATGAGTTGTCCTCTCTTTTTACGCATACTCGCCGATATTGAACGTGAGGTGCCATGGTTCACCAAACGCTTTGATGCGAGAGGCCGACGCGGGTTTAGTAGTGTACAGAAGTGCACTACCACGCTTCGTCAATATCGAACAACGACATCAACTTTCTCGATCAATCTCCTATTTTTGACGATTGGATTAATGGGACCGCACCCAACTCGTCCTTTGAGCTTAGAGGGACGCTTTACAAGCGTGGATATTATTTGGCCGATGGAATATATCTAGATTATTCTACGATCGTCAAGTCCTTCTCCGAACCAATGGGTATTAAACGCCAGACCTACAAAAAAGTTCATGAGGCAGTGAGAAAAGATATTGAACGAGCCTTAGGGGTCTTGAAGGCTAAGTGGCACATTCTAGATCGTCCGTCCAAATGTTATCCTCAAACAAAAATGAGGAATATCATGTACGCATGTATTATTCTTCATAATATGATCGTAGAGGACAACATGTTTGCGATTTGACAATACAACCCAGATGATGAGGTGCCTATGTACGAAGAAATCGACGAAGAAAAGAAATAAATGAAGAAACCGTCAAGAAATTCGAAGCCGAGAGATTCACAATGCACTAACGGTGGATTTGATCGAACATATCTTCAGAAATATGGGTACATACACAATGGTAGCACCCATGTAGTGGCACTCTAACATGACCCTAGCCGCGTTACACATCATGTAACCACCAAAAAGAGATTCATGCGGCTAAGAATAAATATTTCATGTCTCATATCTTTCTTTTTGTTTGACTCTTCATAGTCTCTAATGTAATATTTTGACTATTAATATCTCTATTTATATATAAATATATATTATCTAACTAAGATTTATTCGAAGGGTAAAATGAATATTTTTGTGCTACTGACTTGATTACAATATAGTACCTTTCATAATTTTTCTCAACCTAACTACTCACAATGAGCCAATGTCTCTGTCATTGCTAGGGCTCGAACTTGAGTGAATTGAACTTCCTCGTGAATCTTGGAGAATGTGCTTCCTAGTTCCTACCACTCAAAGCAAGGAAGAAATTCAAAAATTTAGTTTATGAATAAGTTGTGACTTTATATCATTGTTTTCTATTCTATCGAGATAGATGACGACGACGATGATGATGATGATAATCATATAATAATAATAATATGAAAAAATATGTAAATAATTTTTAAAGACATTGTTCGAAAAAATTGGAAAGAGTTGAAAAAATACGAAGGATCGGAGTTTGAAAATTTAGAAAAAAGTTGGTAAAAACTGAAAAGAGTTTGAAACACTAGAAGGAGCTGAAAGAAACGAGAAAGTTGGAATCAGCTGAAATGAGTTGAAAACTAGAAAAAAGTTGGAAGAAAATATAAAAAATTGGAAGAAACTAGAAAAAATTAAAATTACTTGGAAAAGATTAAAACTTAAGAGTTAGAAATTCAAAAGAACCCTTAGCCGTAGGGATGCCAACGAGTCGGGTTCGAGTCGAATATTACTATACCCGAGTCCGACCTTACTTTTAAACCCAAAATTTGAACCCGAACCCGACTTTAATTTTAACAAATAACGAATTTTAAACCACAATTTTATATTAACAAAACATTTGACTCAAACCCTACCAAAATTTTTACGCATTAAATTGCTACATTTGAATATACAAAAATGAGAGAGTGTACTCCGTATTATACTATGAGGAATTTACTTAAGTAGCCCTAAAACATAATGACTTCCCTAAATAGCACCACATGTGTTTTTCTTCCCAATGTAGTACTTTTAGTCATTATCGATTAGTCATTATTCAAGCAAATATTCACCATCACTGGACATTATAGACATTATTAAGTGCTATTTAGGGAATAAAACAGTTTAAATGCTATTTAGGGAAATGACTTTAGTTTTAGTGCTATTTAGTTCAAATATTTCTCATACTATACGTAGTACTCCGTAGAGGAAAAATAAAATACTCCCTCCGTCCCCCAGTTTTTGTCCACTTTTGACTTTTGGAACTGTTCATCTAAGCACTTTGACTCATCAAATTCTCTCAATGTGTAAGCCTAAATATAGTCATGTGTGATCTTTTTTGATTTGATTTGTCTTAACATATAGATTATTGATATATAATTTCTATAATTTTTAAATATACAAATTACAAGATAAAATGGATTAAAAAAGTGTATTGGATAATGTGTAAAAATGAAAGTAGACAAAAACTGAGGGACGGAAGGAGTAAGTTATACTAAAGACCATGATTAACAAGATAGACGAGATAAAAAATGAAGGTAAGGGAGTGGCGAGATGGAGCAGGGAAAAAATAAGGCGACTGAGTGTTAGAAAAGAGCGAGAAGTGAAGAATTCGGTCAGGTCGGTTATGGTCGGGTCTAGTTGAATTGCATCCCTACTTAGCCGCATTACACATAAAGCAAACACTAGAAAAAAAGATTCCGTTTTTTTTTCCTTAAAAAAAAATGATTCCGTTTCAAAAAAAGAAAAAGAAAAAGAACACTAGAAAATGATTGGTACATAAAAGCAAGAAAACGTGTTAGGGCACGGATGGAGTATAAAAATCTGCACCGGCCCATGAGGCAAACAACGAGAGAGATGAGGTCACTAAGCTGTGGCTTTGTCAGGAGATTAAAAGCCAGCAAACTTATGAGCTTATCATGAAAAGCATACACTGAAAAGTCAAAAAAAAAGATTACAAAACAAAAAGATAGAGAGCATCCAACCAAGCAATTGCAAACAGAATCTTAAGAAGAAATAAAATACTTCTAATATTAATTTATTCCACAGAGGAACAAAGTCTCCTTTTTTTTCCCACCATTGGCGGCCGCCATTACATTTATAAAAATATAAAAAAGAAGTAGAGAAATTTGCCAGTTTCTACTGCCCAGAAACTCAGTTTTAGTTGAAGTAGTACATCCCCTTGTCATCATCAACATTGAATACATAGAAACCCTCATTGTTCTCATCACTGTTATTTATTACTATTTCATGCCTCCCATCATTATAATAACCGCCGCTCGCCGCTGCACTGCCACCGTCGTTATCACTGTTCATCAGAGGAAACAACCCGCCGCCGTCCCGGAAACAACCGTGCGGCGACTCCTCGTCGGAGGCGGCGGCGGACGGCAGATGACGGCCGCCGCAGTCGTGGAAGAACAGCTTGTGCTGGTCCTCGAACAGACCTCCGGGGACGACAATGTCGTTGTCCCCTTGTAGGAAACAGCCCGCCAACAGGTCGTCGGATTCCCGCTTGATGATGTCAGCGGCCGCCGCGGTCGAGGAGGAGGAGGACGACCCGCCGCTCGCCTCGGTCGTCGCTCCGGCGAACACGGAGGTCATCGAGAAGCCCGGGTTCGGGGCGTCGTGGAAATTGCAACTAAGCGGAGGGCCTCCGAGGCAAATACTGACGTTGTTGTTGTTGTCGTCGTCGTCGTGGAAGGGGAAGCTAGGGTTGTTATGGATGGGAGGGAGGGGCTCAAGGGTGGGGGGGATTTGGGGGTAAAATGAGAATAGTGATTGTTGAGGGGGTAATGGTGGTTGAAGAAAGGGGACAAGGGTAGTTTGGGCGGGAGGAGCATTATTATTATTATTATTATTATTATTATTATTATTTGTTGGAGAAGAAAAGAAAGATGATGAGGATAATTTTCTCTTGGTATAAGGAGGAGGGGAAGGGAAAATCATCATTCCCATAATTTTCTTCTTGAGCTTGGTATTCCAGTAGTTCTTGATATCATTGTCTGTCCTTCCTGGTAATTGTCCTGCTATTATTGACCACCTGCCATCCACATTTTTTTTTGGTATTTTAATTATTTTTTTTGTCCACTTAGTTACAACCGTAACTGAATTATAATAATTAAATATATATATACTTCCTCCATCATTTAACTCTACATAATTTAAAAGAAATATTGTAAAGTATAATTGAATTTTGCTTTTGAAAGTTGTGTGAACCAAATAGGGAGTACTTCATTTATTTATTGTTTGAACAAAATGGATTGGTACAAATCTTATTTTTATACTGAAGAAAAAAAAGTGGGTGACTTTAATTAATTTTATGATTACTCCCTCCGTTTAAAAATTATTTTCCTGTTGCGAATTATGATATTTGAATCAATTTATTTTTAAATCATTTTTTCTGAAAAATAGTGTGGAATTTAAAAAATAAAAATTACATATTAAAAACAATTATATCAAAAGATCTATAAAAGTAAAGATGACATGACTATATTTTTTTATTAAATGGGTAACGAAAATAGGCTAACGAAGTGAATAAAATTTGACCATCTAAATAGAACGAGAATATAGTTTTTGGAGGAAGTATTATTTTCCACGTAAAATAACAAAAGGAAAAGCTCATAATTTTTATATAAGTACCCACTACCTGCCATTTTTGTTATATGGTCCTTATCCGTACGCACAGACATGTTAGATTAATAAAAAAGAAATACTCATACTATACTACATTTTTTAATTCGTAAATGTATACTCTTAAAAAGTAAAGACTAATCTAGCTAGGGTTCCGTACAACCACTTTCATTAACATACTATGTACTTCTAAAAATTACTCCAATATACAATATAATTACTCTCTTCCTCCTGTTTTAATTGTTCACTATCTTATTTTTTAAAATAAATTGTCGAATTCCTATAATTAATAGAAATATTATAATAAAATTGATGGTTCTAACCCTTTCCCCAATCCCTCCCTTTAATCATCATTAAGCAGGATATATATATATATATATATATATATATATATATATATATATATATATATATATCTGTGTGTGTGTGTCTTAAACTCTTTTTCTTTTCTTTTTTTCTTGTCCCACGAACTCTTTTTCTTTTCTATTCAAAAACCACTTTTAGCCTTATTAATTCTTACATTACCTATCACATCATACCTTTTTACTAATAATCTATCAATCGCATCCTATATTTCCCATCGCATGAAAAATATTTTTGGAAAGTGAATACAAAATTATCCCTCTCTTAAATTTTCAAATAGTCAATAAAGGAAGAACTTTAAGGGACGGAGGGAATAATATATATAATTGAATATATATTTTTTCATAATTTATGATCAAAGTGTAATATAATTAGTAGACAAAAAAATTAAACTGGTGATGATTTTTGTAGGAGGAAAAGAGTATAGGATTGGAACAAATATGAAAAAACAAAAGGATGAAAAAAAGTTGTAGCTAACAAAAAGTTTGGGGGGGGGGGGAGCTCTAAAGCTGACCCATGCATGCACAAAAGCATGGCGTCATCAATGGCCATTCAAACAAAGCGATAATAAAAGACATCATTTCAGGTTCACTGTTTTTGTTTTTTTTTGAATTTATTACTGTATTATTATATTTTGTCACCATGTTAACCCAAGAGAGCTAATTAATTACCCATTTTGTATATATAGTTTCCTTTATTTTCCTTTATAATACACAACCAATATCATGTTGAGACAAATGTTTAGATGATGGAACCCACAAAGAGGCCCCATAAAATCAGATCTCTATGATTAATCATTCATGATAAAAACTTACTCTTCTAAAAATTATCTTCTCGTTACGCGTTATGATATTTGATTAAATTATTCTTTTGATCAATTTATATAAAAAATGGTGAAAAACTAAAAATTAAAAATTATATTTTTAAAAACTATATCAAAAGATCTTCAAAACTAGAGTTGATATGATTATAATATTCTATGATATAGACAACGAAAATAGGCCAATAAAGTTTGACCCTGTGAATAGTGAATACGAAGATAATTTTTGGATGAAAAGAGTATACAGAGTAGATTAAAAGGGAAAAAATAAGTTTAGAAAAATAAATATAATCCCTTTCAAGCTAATTGATGATTAATTAATAATTACAAATAATAATTAAAATTAATGAAGTAAAATAGCCATGTACCTGCTTCCAATGGTGGCATACAAGGTGCAAATAATTCTATCTTCTTGATCAGTGAAATCTCCATGCTTTATGTTTGGCCTCAGATAATTTAGCCATCTCAGTCTGCAGCTCTTCCCACATCTCTTTAGTCCTGCAAATCACAAATCCATGGATCGATCTCCATTATTTACATGATACAAATCAAATATATGGTTAGCAAGAAATTAAAAAAAAAATCCCAACATTCATATATAAAATAATCTAACTTGCAACATATTCAATTTATTCTTTTTATCAAAAAAATGCCCATAGCCATTTATTTGAATCTATTATATTTAGCTAGAGATATAATTTTATTTCTGATTTTCGTATGTGCTATTATACCCCTCCCCCTTTGTTCTTTTTTAGGAGTCCATTTTTATTTTTTTGTGTAGAACTTTGACTCACTATAAACTCCCTAAAATAATAATAATAATAATAATAATAATAATAATAATAATAATAATAAAATGTAATTTTATTATGTTATTTTTAAAAACTATTCCATAGTATTTCTATTAAAATGTACTTTTATGATGTTATTTTTAATTAATAAATTACCAGCTTTTTGAGGGAGAGCAATCCAATTTCCACCAGTTCCAAATTTCTCAATGAAAGCTTTGAGCTTTGCATCTTCTTCAGGAGCCCAAGGCCCTTTCTTCACATTTGCCTTATCACAACAAGGTGCTCTTCCCATCTCTCTCTCTCTCTCTCTCTACACGTATTTATATATATCTATATATATTATTGTGAAGCAAGCTAATATAAGCTAGCTATGGTAGTGCCTTGTTTGGCTTGGAAGAAATGAAGCAAAGAGCTAAGTGAGGAGTGAGTGCATTTGTGGAGTGGTGTGAGAGGCTTTTATAAAGGTGTGGAAAGAGAGAGAGAGTTACAATATAATAGGGTCTGATATCTCCGGCTGCGCAGGCCGCAGAGGGGAGAAATGTGCAGAATGAATGAAAGGAGCAGTAAATCTTTTTCTAGAACTGTAAAAAGGGGGAAAAATCTGAGAAAGAGTGAAAAAAAAGTTCTGATTTTTTACTGTTGGGGTTTGTTGTGTTTCTCGTGGGGAGGGCATTTTTGTTTTATTTTTTCTTTTTTTTTTGGGGTATTAGGTATCCAAGAGTGGGGGTTATGGTTAAAAAGAGCAGACTTTACATGTCTGTAGTTATAATTGATGTTTTTCTTTTGTCTTAGAAAAAGAGTATTGGTTTTAAAACAAAAATATTTCAGGTACAATTAAAAACTTACCAAATCTTTTTCTTTACATTGTTGGTTTTGATAGAATTTAGAATCGAATATGGATCACTATGTTTGGTCATAAGACACTTGATGAGCTAAAATATGTTGAAAGGTGGACTAATTATTTCCTCTTCAACTTTTGAGGTGTGACTGTCACAATCACTCTCATGTAGACAATCGATTCATTTTGAATCTAATAGGTTGATCAATTGCAAATAGACTCTCCTCCCCTTGAATTGATTACTTCAACCAAAAAGCTTATAAACCCAACAATGTTTTTTCTCTTTAACTTTCGATGTGAGACTCAAACCCTTTTTATTTTCAAAGTTTATTAATGAGTTCTTTTACCTACAATATATCCCCTCAATCTCAAAATGATTTTTTGCGTTCCACTTTCACAAAATTTAAGAAAGATATTAAAAGTGAGAGAGTGATCAGAAATTAATGAGAAAAGTGAGAAACTTTTTTAACCACATATGAAGTATTTTTATTAAATGAAAAGGTCAAGATTATTTTTGAAATAGACGAAAAAAGAAAAAGAGATACGGGAGTATTACTATTATGGGGCTTTTTTGGTATTAGGTATCCACATGCATCCAGGACCTTGAGTGAAGGTTATGGTTAAAAAGAGTAGAGTTTAGTAATTATAATTGTGTGTTAAATGTATAATAAACACGTGACTCTACCAAATCCTAAAAAAGGATATACCACCATCCTCTACAGCTTCTAAGCACCGACCAGACAGTTATCTTAATGAATTAATGATTATATATACAAAATCTTAAATTGTGCAGCAAGTGTTCATTTCAGAAATTCACCTTGTAAAATGTACTATATAAGATGTGATTAGTAAATTCATACTCCCTCCGTTTTTTAAAACACTTTCTCTTTTATTTTTTTCACTTCCAACAAAACACTTCCACTTTCTATTAAAAAACCACTTTTACCCTTACTTTTTCATACCCTACCTATCACATCATACTTTATCTCTAATAATCTATCCATCACATCTTACTTTTACGTATCACATCAAGGGCAAAATTGGAAGTCAACTACAATTTAATACTTCTTTATTTTTACACAAAGTCAAAATAGGAACACTTTTTCCAAACGGAGGGAGTACTTAATAATTAATCGGGATAAAAAAATATTTTAATTGAAAGTAAGTATTTTTTGGGACGGATAAAAAGTGAAGGTGAAAATATTTTCAAGGAGGAATGAAGTATTTTTTTTTACTCATTTGATAAAATTAACATATTCATGCACGTGACATCTTATCTTGTAAAAGCTTTGATGTAGTTTTAAATATTTATAGTTAATTTTTAAATTTTATACGGATTGAATTTAAAGTTAGCTTTAATTAATTTGAAATGATAATAACATCAATTAAGCATTGTAAACAATATTTTTTTGGAGCCATCAATTATATACTACACCATTAATATTTACTCCACTATTTCTTGATATCTTTCGGTTTCATTTATCATGCCAATTTTTTTTATCAAAAATGTTTCTATAGATATATTAGCAATAACACTAAAAATACATCAATAATATTTTTATCTAAATATACCTATTAATGGCTATTATAATACAACAGTCCTTTTTTTTTATAACAAAATGACTATTAAAATAAAAATATTTCTATATTTTAATAATTGTATTATTATTTTTATAGTGCTGCATAAAGTTCTAAAGTGCAAAAATAAAGATGCAAATAATACAACTAAAATGGGATATAAAGAGTACGAACAGGTATACTTAATTGCTAGATAGTACTCCCTAAGTGGAAAGTATTGGGTTGGTTTGCTCAAAGTGAGCTAAGTTCAGATTCTAAATTGATGTATCTTGGGAAACAGGCCATAAAGTGACAAAAATAATATTTCCCAGCTTTTGTAAAATAAGACAGTGACGTTATTATGACGCAATAATAATAATAATAATGCCACCCCACTCCAAGGAAATTCCAATAATGATGGGGGGATACCAATCTCTCCTCAATTATCATATCCACAAAAGCACTTCCGTTGGGATTGAATGCACGGAGAGCCTCACGCAGACCTTTGAATAATCCATCTCAATTTTATCACTTTTAAAATTATTCTGTTTATATATTAATATAAAAATAAAAAAATAAAAAAAATTCATATTTCAAAATTACATGAAATGAAAAAAAATGATTCTTGTCACCGGTGTCTTAAGCAAAGTAGATTTTTTTATGAACTCCCCCCATTTTAAAACGTTCTTCCCAGTTACTAATTCACACGGTCAAACTTTAATCACTTTGGTTACCTATTTTCATTATTTATTTGATAAAATAATATTGTCTTTTCACCTTTTGTTTTGTAGAACTTTTTATGTAGTTTTTAAATATATAAAATTTATTTAAAAATTTCACACCTTTAATTAAATAAACTGAAAATAAGGTCGGTCAAATTAAACCTTGTAAATGTTTTAGGACTGAGGGAGTAATTCTCAAATATATAATTCAGGGCCGGCCCCGAAAAATGAAAAAATAAAATTGGCCCGGTCCAAAATCTACATTTGGGGCCCTATTTTATTTTTTTTAGAATACTTATGCTTTAAAATTTTTAAGAAATTTAAAAATATGGGGCCCTAAAATTATAGGGGCCCTGTGCGGTTGGCCACTTTTCACACCCTTCGGGCCACCCATGATATAATTTATATTTTTTTTATTTCTATCCCAATTTATAAATAAAAAATAATTTTGCACATTGTTCGAATAGTGTAAATCATTATGGGAGAGAGGAAAAATGAATGAAATTAGCCAAAGGTAGCCGGAAAAGCCAACTTCTTAACAGGCTCCTAATTCTTTTTATTAATCATATTTATGGCTAGATTTATGGTTCTTAAAGAGTAAATTTTCAAAAAGGTCTTTTATAATGAGGTATTTTCTCAAATTAGTTCTCAATAAACAATAATTACTAAAGTTGTCTTTTATAATTGAGATGCATTTCCTAAATAGTGGTCTATCAAAAATGTATATTAAATCACAGTCAAATAGAATGCATTTTGGTATTTTCTATCATCTAGATTTAAAATATGTTTTCGAAATGCTACTTTTATAATTAAGTATTTTTCAAACTAATAATTTCTAAGTGAATTTTTCCCGAAATAGAGTCCATGAGCCTAATTGGGGTGCGTCTGTTCCTCTAGCGGCCACCCACTTAATTTCAAAGGACCATTTTGAGGACTTATTTATAATTTAGATGATAGAAAATACAAAAACACCTTCTATTTAAGTTTTATTTAATAAACATTATTGACAGAAGACTATTTAGAGAATACTCCGTACTTCTGAACTACAAATTAAAGTACAATATTGGCAATTATTGTTTTTTGAAAACTAATTTGGAAAAATATCTAATTAAAAAGGAGCGTTTTAGAAAATTTACTCTATCTTAAATCTGAAGTTTGTTTGAACCAATTAAACTTTTAAAGCGTTTTTAATTTAGATTTATTTTATTCTAGATCTTGGGTTAGACACAACTATTTGCCTTCATTTTAACTATACATTTTGGTTTCTCGCCTTGTCCTTTGGAATATCTATACACTCCCGATGTGTTCAAAAAAGAAAAGAAAAAAAACTATATACTCCCTATCCGTAGAAATGGTTGAATTAAAAGTTATACCCCGAGTATAAAAGTTATACAGAAAATTTTGTATTGAAAAATGATTTTAAAATATTTTTTTATTTATAAATTTTACTAATACAACTTGAGAAAACATTTTAAGTCAAATGTTACGTTCTACACGAAAAAAATGAAACCACGGTTCATGAAACGGAGAGTTTAATACTTGATTGGAAATTTTTAATTCATAACTTTTTTAATTTGATGTTTTTTAACAATAATTTTATTAATTAAAATTCGAATACAAAGTCAAGTGAGTGGGAACACACTTGTAACAGAAAAAATAATATACGCACAAGCCAAAATGAAATGATATGAAGAGCTACTCGAAAAAGAAGGAACATATACTCAAGCACAACTACAAGAAATGGTCCACAATGATCTACTATTAGTCATATTAACCCAAAGTTAAAAAGATGAACCTTATTTTTGGATTTACGAAAACTCATTTTCGTTAGTTAGCTGAAAAGAGATAATTTAATTAAGACAAGTAATTAATCAATAATTTAAGCCAACTAATTAATTGACCTCCTATCGGATAAATTTTAGGGCATTAGGTTCATTAATTAGTACTCTTGTAATAAATTTAAGTACATAACTACAGACAGCACAAGTATTTTTGCTAGGCGGGAATAAAATTAGTGAAGTACGTATGCATTAATTATTGGCAGACAATGCATTAAATGATGCTTTTCTGAAAAAATCTGAATCATAAAAAGGGACAAAAGGTTTCGGTCTACTACTGCTGACAACAAATCTACCGAGTATATTTAAGAGATACTCGTATTAAGACGAGCTCCATTCACATTATCTGATTTGATTTTTTGAATTTGCAGTAAGATGCACTTCGTTAACTTGATTTGATCTGATCTAATTTTTTGAAGTTCTAATTTGATCTGATCTAATCTGATCTAATTGAATTTGATCAGGTCTGATCTAATATGATCTGATTGGATTTGATCTGATATAAATTTGATCTAATTAAACTTATTATTAAAATAGTTATAATAATAATAATAATAGTGTAAATTACCAACTAGGTAAAAAGTACTAAACCGGGTCTAGGATTGTTTACTAGATTCGAGAGAGTAAAAAGCAATAAACACACAGATTAACCGGGAGGACTGTAGTTGGAAACACCTATATCCCAATTATTATTTGAATATAGTAGAGTACACGGAAGATTTACACAAGGGTTTAGTGAGAAGAATTCGGATCCTTTCCTTTGAAGGTTACATAGACATTTATAGTAAAGCTAAAGGTAACAAGGCGCCGCACACCCACGTCAGACCACGTTCATGGGTGCCGCGATGTGATTGCCTCTGTCTTTTAGTGGCTTGTTCCATCCCTTTATCCCTATGTCATCTAGCTAGGAAGGTGACTCCTTTGTCACGAAGCGCATTGGACTAATTGCGTGAATATTTTCAATGATCTTTTGTTGAATTTGGCCGCTACAGTCCGACTTCCCTTGGATTTTTTCATGCCGACAATTCTCAACCATAGAAATCATACCGGTAAGGTTTACGCGGGATGGGTTTATGAAAATTGGGGATGAACAAGAGAAGTCACGTAGTTTGACCGGTAGAGTATTAGAAGGATACCGGTCAAACTTTTGACATTGATCAATATACACTTCTTTCGTTTAGGCTCCCCATTCCAAATATTCAATCTTGACCAGTCAAACAATTTGTTGGCCTTCCCTTGGACTGGTACTGGGTGAAATACACTCATCAATAAGCCTCCACTTCTCGGCCATGTAAATTATCATGGGCGGGAAGTAAAAATTTGGGAAATGGATCACTCAAAATTCAAATTTCAGGCCTTTCCCGCCTAAAATTTTCAAAATTCAAATTTGAAATCTCTAGTTTTTGACACGTGTTGCTCGCCAACTGTTGTCATAATGCGTTGTCGCCCCGTCCGTTCGTCTTCCCATGTATCATCATTGCGCCGCCTGACGTGGTGTAACACCCGCCTTCCGCGGACCCGGTTCACCCGCGACCCGACAGACCGGTAGGGTTACATGAACAATTCGAGAACCGTCCGTAGAGAAAAGAACATTAATGTCCATTTATTTTGAAAACGGTTATGATTAATTGGTAGAATAAATGCTAGGGAGTTACCCCAAAATGTGTGTGATATATAAATGCAGAGTAAAAGCGGAAGTAAATAAATAAGTCCAAAATAGGTAAAACGACATTTGATGGGTTCATGCCCAAATGATTGATTAATTCAAATGATTATAATTATTAAACTCGTCCGTGCGCCGCCCATCTTCCCATCATCACTGTCCTCCAGGGTTAGCACCCGCACCGTCATGTCTACCTGCGTGTAGCAAAAACAACTACACGCTCAGCATAAGCTGAGGAGTGAATCTAACAAAAGAACATAAAGTGATAACCCATATGGCTATACACATATTAATACCTGTACTTAACGTACGAAAAACCACATGTTTACTAACTGATTAATTTGCACTTGATGGGATATTTTTACACATAACAAAATGAATAACAACCACATTGAATGTTTGTGTGATGTGGAACATACATGATGATGACGACCACATCGAATGTTGACGTGACATGAAACATACATGATGACAATATGACTTGATGCACGACTTAAGCTATTAGGGACACCCCTGACTTAGTCTCACTTGACAGGATCACCCCTGCACTCTGGTAATGACCCGGGCTCGACAAAACGTCGCAAGTGAACTAGCAAAAACCGGGTGGTAGCCGTAGCCTGACTACCATGTACGTACACAAAGCCCACCTGATGAAAACCCGTTGGATCCCGAAGGTTCCTGGACGGGCCCACTGTAGTAGGTGCACGGAAGCCTGACCTCCGTACAACGGTATGCACATGATGATAAACCTAAGACATGTGACTAGAATGAACATGATGAAGGCTTCATATATTTACCTTTGGTCAACGCCAAGAATATATCAATTAAATAACATACATAATGAAGATTAACGTTTCATGCAAACATACTATCAGATTCTGAGTCAATATGGTCAACGGAATTCATTCTACAAACTGTCCGAAAAACTGCCCGGGAAACGGTCGACCGTACCCTACCGGCGGTCGATCGTGAGCTACGTTATGGAGTTCTGGAATGCCGACGGTCCACCCCGATCTTCCGTCGCGGCCGGCGGTCGACCGTTACGGTGGTGGCCGACGGACGGTCAAGGGAAACGGTCCACCGTCCTGTAGACAGTCCACTGACTTTGGCTTCGTTTTGATCCGTTTTGTGAACTTAACGCCTTGATTCTTTTTAGAACAATCATGTAAACATTTATGAATATATTCCTAGTGATTCCTAGGCCTATATATACGATTTTTACGTAGTGAACGTTTTGATGGCTAACCTACGAACATGCATAGATTCTACGTAGGTTGCGTACGATATTCCTATGAATATAACAACATAGATTATAACTTGATGTTCTAGAATTAGAGGGGACAACTACTCACCTCTAACAAAGGGTTTGATGAGACGTAAGTGAATTGAACGGATGGATGATGAATGGATGAACGAATGAATGAACGACTTCTCGCGTAGCCCTCCTTCTCTTCCACCTCCTCGCTTCCCCTTCGTCTACATGCCGGAGCTCCTCCTTAGCTTTTTCCCTGGGCTGCCATGGCCGAACACAAGGGAAGGGAGAGTTGTGATGTTAAATGGGAGTTACATTTGTGGTGGAGAAAGTGAAGAGGAAGGGGAGGATTTATATTAAAAGAATTGATGAAGGATTAATGGAGTATTAAAAAGGGTATTTGAATGGGGGTTATGGGAGAGTAAGGGGTTAGTGGCGTGTGGATTGATGTGGGGAGTTATCTCCCTAAATTCCATTCCGTTGTGTAAAATCTGACCCGAACGGTACACGGTTTCCCCCCCGAACGGGTCCGAATTGAGATCCGTTTGTGTTTCCGGAATCAGACAGTTAAAATGAACTTAATGACATGTTCAAATAATTTTTCTAAGAACTTTATTTTCAAACTTCCGGGTCTATCCCAATCATTAATTAATTTATTTAATTAATGTTGAGAGGTCATACATTAGCTTTGAAAAGCCATCTAATGAGATCAAAATCCCAATATTTAGTATTTAAAACAATGAGTCTCAATAAATAAATAATATTTATTTATTTAAAACTAGGCCGGTTTGAGGGCGTTACACGTGGTGCAACCGTAGGTCGCCACATCACCTTTTTATTTTTTTTAAATTTTGTTCGCCTATATAAAGGCCTTCAGACCCTTCATTCATTCACTTTTCGCGCACATCCTTTCGACCTCTTACCGGTCAACTCCCAGTTTTAGTCTTCCAGCCCTCCGAGTCAAGTAAGCCTTTCCTTACTTTTCTTTCTTTCTTCCCGGTCATGTCTTTGGAGGAAGATAGTCAAAACATTTCTTCCTCAGGTGCCTACGCAACTGAGGAATTTGTCCCGTCTTCTTCCTCTACCGGTTACAAATCTTTGGATTTTGAATCCAGACTAGCTCAACATCCTCCCGTTCCCGATCCTAAACCGGTCAATCAAGTACCGGGTCAAGTCTTCGTGGATCGGGAGGACCTGGTCAACAAGGAATCGGGTCCCCATGACCCAGACAACGAGTCCTTGGTGGAGTGTAAAATTGCCTTGAACAAAGCCCGTAAGAATCTCCTAGAGGGCTATATTCTTGAATATGACGAAAACTCGCCCAACATCGTTGAGCCCCAACGGGAGAATAGGATATGTTTCCATATCGTCTCTTTGGAGGGTGGCATAGTCTTTCCTCTCCGCCCCCTCGTGGTAAAAGTCTGCCACGCCTTTAGGATTCTTCCGAGACAGATTACTCCCAACGTCCATCGTCTTTTAAATTCCTTTGTAAATATATGTTCCCATCTTCGCATTGATCCCTCCCTTCGTCTTTCCCTTTTTTTGTTCGAAGTCCTTCCTGGGCAAACCGGTTGCAACGGATTGATATATTTCAAGGGTCGCCCCGGTCGTAAGTTCATCTCCGACCAACCCCAGAGTAACAAGGGATGAAAGGAAATTTTTTTTTTCATTAACTTCCCCCCATCCGTCTCTCGCCTGGCCGGTCTGAGGTGGAACGACCACCTCCTTAACCAAGAATTCACTGAGCCGGCCACTGCTCGTCTGCTGCTGACCTAGAGGAGAGTTTGAAGAAGCTGCTCCGTGGTGATCCTCATACCCCGATGCCATATCATTACGGAAGCTGGGTTTGGAGGATCAACTGGGGTGGCGAGGGTACCTCGCATGCCCATGAAGCAGAGGGGCACGGGGTACCCTCCCTAGGCAACACTGTAGAGGCTCAGGGCCATCATCACTCAGTTTCGTTTTGTATTCTACTCTTTCTTTCCTTTATTCGTTTTATTTTTGTACCGGTCCTGTTACCTGTACTTAACAATATTTCTTGGATTTGCAGATATGGAGTTTGAGTCCTTCCAGCTCCCAAAGAGGACCGGTGCCTCCAATTTTGTCGGCCCCCAATCGACTCCTCCCAAAACCCAATAGGCCCAACAAGAGACCGTGGAAATTTTGGACATGGAGGAGGCCCCACCAACCGGGGCAGCAGATCACAATCCTGCCCCTAATTAACAAGGGGAAGAAGATCCGGGTGAAGAAAGTTGCTATGTCCCATCCCTCCATGAAGAGTAGTAGGGAGAAAGCCAACCGGAGTTCCAATCCGTGGAAGAGCTCTGGGTCCTGCTCGGCCTCAGGCTGAAAGAAGTAAGTTTCACCCGGTACAAATTTCATCTGTTCATTTTATTCATGTAATTGTACTGACAATTTTCCTTGCCTTTTTCTTTTTTATAGCTTGGTGAGCTGGGGCCGGACGTCGCTGACTGCCTCTCCAAAGGTTCTCCCTCCAGAGCTACTCGGTTGGAGGAAAAGGTGAAGGAAGGGGAGAAAAGAGCCCGGGAGCTGAACGCCGTGATTCTATGGCAAACAGATGAGCTGGCGAAGGTCTCTAAGGCTGCCGGGGTCGTGGGTGCCGAGAACCTCCAGCTAAAGGAGGAAAACACCCAGCCGATGGAGGAGGTCTCTGTTGGTCTTATGGGGGACCATCGATCACCCTTGAGTTTCGCTACTGTGCTTGTCACGGTATTGGGTATTGACAGCCCAACCTGACGAGGTACATGAGTCGTGTATCTTGTGAAGCCCCTCCTATCCATCCACTGCTCAGCAGTGGGGCTCTGCACTCCCGTAGTGAACTGTAGGGGGTGCCCTAAAGGAATCTACCTCGGCTTGTGGCTACAGAGAGATGTGGTTAAGTATAAAGTTTCAACCTTCCTATCACCAATTCGTTTTAAGAAGCACTTGACACCTCTTTAACTTCTTAACTCTGTAGTTAAGCGTGCTAGAACGAGAGTAGTCTCAGGATGGGTGACCCATTGGGAAGTTCCAAAAAACGATCCTAAACATTAATGTCCATTATGCATGATTTAATGACTTATTTTGTTTTAGTCTAATAATGTCCAATATTATTTTTAATGTCTACATGCCCAATAAAAGGCATTGCCGATTGAAAAAAATTAAGACATTATCGCAATTATAAATGTCCACTACATTAGCCATCAACGTAACATCCTGAAACCCGGCCTATCAAAATTAATTAAATAAAATTAATTAATTAATTAATTATTGAGACGGACCCGGAGTTTAATTAAAATATTCGTTAATAAATACAAGAATTATAACGTTGTGCAAGATTCAACAACACGAATCCAACGATGAAAACATATTGACCCAAAAGTATATATTTTAATCCAAGTACGTTATTTAGTTACATAGTCGAAAACCCCAAACCTATAAATACACCCCTAACACGCCTAACCCTCCCTATTGCCACCTATACTCTCTCTCTCAATACCTCTCTCTCTCTCTCTCGCTCCTTATCGATGAAAATAGCATAACAGAGCCGAAAGACAGGGAAGAAAGAGAGGGAAGAAGGAGATGGAAGAAGAAGAAAGTAGAAGGAAGAAGGAAGAAGGAAGAAGAAGGAAGAAGAAGAGGAAGGCCATTAACCCATTCGTTGGTTCAACCTTTGTAATCGTTCAACGAATTTGAGGTGAGTACGTGAACATCTAACCCTAGGTTACGCCTATAGGTTTGAATCTTACGTGGGTAGGATCATTACGATTGATTTATGTGAAAATATATTTTAAGAAGTTTTGTTGGAATTTGTGATTGTGTGTACAAATGAGTTATATTTTGATATGGTAAGTTTGGATATAGTTAGGAATCGGCTTATGAATGTATCTGTGCTGGAACTTTCGAAATTGGATGTTGGATGGTTGTGGAAATCGCATTGGTGCATTAAAAGTTAAGTTTCGCGTTAGACGGTACATAGGTACCAACCGACGAGTACTTCGATACTCCCTGAGGCCTTCTCACTCTGCTCGAACCTGCACCCGTATGGTAAGTATCGGATGGACAGTAGGCCATACCGTCAAGGCGGTAGCTTGTTGCCTTCACAAGCCCTCTGGTATTGGCGGACTCTGTTCCAGCTGGTAAAAGGTACCGCCTGGACGATACCCAGGTACTGTACCGGTACCCCAATACTGGATCAGGTACCTTACGGTACCCAGAGTTCGCCTGTAAGTTTGTGTTCCCCGTCAAGGATCAATTCCGAGACTTTGTTTGTTGCATGACGATAAGCCTGGGTGTTCGCACCCATTTTTAGGTCAATGTTTGAGCTCATTGATCATGGTTGCTTATTAATGAATGTAGAGATGCTTATTTGTGTTGTGAGACTTGTGAATATTAAAGCAATATGTGAACCTAGAGGAACTTTAGGATTGTCTTGAATGGAATAGGGGCAAGTTATGTCGTAAGTATAGTAAGGTTAGAGCCATGTGGTACCTGCTGGGTCCAATGGCTATTTGGGTACGAATGTGCGCATGGGGATCTATGAACTATCGTTTCGAAGGGGACAAGGATCTCACCCATCCAGCGAGGAACTTCCGAGTTGACTGAGCTTGATTTTCGTTTCGAAGAGGACAGGGATCTCATCCACCCAAATATGTTGTGGGTTAGGTAAGTTAGTGACTAAAGAGACGAGAGAAATATTCATATCGTTCTTATTGTGTATGAGTTGGATTGTTATGTTGATATTCACGGAGGATGTTGAGGGAACAGAGGACATTGACTCATGTATATGTTGAATGACATGTTATAAGATGCTTCTTAAAAAAAGAAAAAAATTTAACTGTAATGTGAAAAAAACAGAACAGAGTATAAAGATAAAAAACAAAAAAAGGCTTCACGCACAAAGAATAGGGCATAAAACCAGAAAAAACCAGTTCATCAAACACTTGGTGAACCAGAAAAAAACCAGAAAAAAGGACTCGCGTATAAAACCAGTTTAAGGCCTATTAGGGCAAAAAACAGAATATAGTATAAAGATATCAGAAAAAATGCAAAATAATATTGTTGTCTCACGTTCTTGTTAAGTTTGGGATTTCATCAAATACTTGGTGGGCATAATTTCAAACTAAAATATTTTTAGGTATCAACTTATGTAATCACCAAGAGGTAATCCAAAGTAGCTAGAGTCAAGAAAGAACACAGAATAGTTGTTAGATCTAGGTCCCAACGCTAGAGGGGGGGGGGGTAAATAGAGTTTGAAGTGAAATATCGCAGGAATAAAAAATTTAAATACGTTAAAAGTAAAGAGCGTGAAAAGCGTAAAGGGAGCACACCAAGATTTCCCCCGGTTCACCACAACGTGTCGCTAATCCAGCCTCCCGAGAGACTCTCTCGAGCTACACTACTTCCGTTAAGCTTACGAGTGCTTAACAAACCGTTACAACCTGAGAACTCGAGTCCCACGAGCCTCAAAATATTTGCTTGGAGATACCACACTCCAAGACTTCAACCCGAAGGAAAATACCTTTCCTTCGTACAACCAAGGGAAACAAGCTTCCCTTAAAGTGTGTAAAACACTAAGACACTCAATAACAAAGCTCTCTCAAAAGAGTGGATAATGAGTAAAATAATACACTTAAGAACGCAACAAAAACTTCACACAAATGGCTCTCAAAAGCTATGAAAAATGTAATGATGGAATGCAATGAAGGAGTATGAATTGTGAAGTTATTAGTTTAGAAAAGTAGACCCAAACACCCCATTTTACAGTACAAAAAAGGCTCCAACGTGTGGGAGTTGATTGGGGGTGATTGGCATAATTTGTGGGATTTGATTAAAATTGGATCTACTGAAAATATGCCTGACAATGCTGTTCATAACTTGAACACCGCTGTCTAAGCTTAAACTTTTGAATTTTAAGCTTCAACGGTCATGCCAACAGCGATGTAGAAATGGTGAACATCGATGTTCAATGTGCTGACTTCCAAACATGGAAGGTTTCAGCCTTTAATTTCTTCTAACGGTCAGGTACCTACATCGATGTTCATAGGTCAACATCGTTGTTCAGGCTTAACCTTCCAAGGAAGAATTTGGCTTGACATCAATGTTTCTGGGGCAATATCACTGTTCAAAAACAATCTGCCAAACTAATTTTATCTTGGCTTGAGTTGAACATCGCTATAGAGAAGTCTACATCGCTGTTCAAAAAGCTTATAGAACTTCAGGCTTGGCTCAACAACGAAGTACAATAACCAACACCGATGTTGGAGGACTTATCTCCAAACCATGGTTCTCAAGTGCCAACACCAAACAACGCTGTTGGGCTGGTTTGCTAGAACCATGGCTAGCCAGTCAACGCCGAAAGCTGATGTCAAAAATCAAAGTTCTCCAAATTTAAAACCAAGTGTTTAAAACACTTATTTAATGTATTTTACTAAGAAACCAAGTGAAATATCTTAAAAACCACGTCATTTAGGTAAAAACGACGGCTAGCCAAGTTTATGCCATTTCACATGGTTTTTACCAAAAGACCAAAAACGAGAGGTGTTTTTTGAAGCGTTTTGGTTGGAGAACTATTTAAATGTGCCAAGAAGTAAAAACCAATCATAAAGAGTTAAAAACCACCTGGTTGGTTCGGACGCCAAAAACCAACGCTGATAACCAAATGCCGAATGCCGGTTTCTAAAAACCGAATGCCAGTTTCCGAAAGCCGAATGCCGATTGGCTTGGTTTTTGTTTTGGGCGAAGTCCAAGTGTTTTTTGGCTTATTAAAACTTTATGAAGGTGATTTTAATGATGCATGAAAACATTTGAATGAATTTAGCCTAGAGAGCCAATTTGTAAAGTTGATGCCGGTCTTGATCACATAGGGATTGACTCAGCTATTTCTACGTTTTCGTTCTTTGTTCTTGGTTCTCATTTTCACTTGATCATAATGCCATGCGTCTTCGCCTTTAGTTTGTTCAACATCTTCTTGTTTTCATGGTGGTTTGGCATTATAAAAACCTATCATAAAATGAACACGGCTTTGGTACGTTGTAGACAAAAACCCGTGTTCCAACAACAGTGACTCCCGTACGTATGTTTTGAACCCTAGATCACTGGATATGCAAACATGCTCCACAAGGCCCGAACCTAACAACAGTCCTATTAGTGATTAAACTATCCAATTCAATTCAGATCAGCTTAGGCACGAACAGCCGGCCCAGGCAGCCACCACTAACCAGCCGGAACAGTCACCCGGGCAGCCCCACTAACTGGCCCGAACAAACCCATTCGCGCCCAATCGAACCCAGGCCAAATCACCCTAATTGGACCAAAACCAACCCGTTTGCACAAGAACTGACCCAATTGGACCCGGATTGACCTAATTGAACCAATTTGGTCTAAATTGGATCAATTGGGTCCAAATTGGACCCAACCAACCCGTCAACAGCCACTGCCGGTGGTCCACCGCCGTGACTCGCCGGAATCCGACCAAAAAACCATCCCAATCCAACCCATAACCAATTCAACACAAAAATCAACAATCCCAACAATCAATTCACACAATTTCAGATTCAATCGCAAGATTAATACCAACAAGATCCTAATCTACGAATTAATGCTAACGACAGGTATTTGGGCAACGAATCACCTCAAAATTGAAGAACTAAACTCGGATTGGAGGAGAGGGATTCACCGCTGCTGTTTCCGTCGGAATCCACGCGCACGGCTTCCGGTGCTGTCAACGACAGGAGGAAGGCGGCGCTGCTACGGTGTCAAGGGAAGTCACGAACTAGCTGACGGACAGCGACCAGGAATGAGAGAGAGAGAGAGAGAGAGAGAGAGAGAGACGGTCTACAGAGAAGAAATGGACGGGAAAGGAGAGGTGTGGCTTCCGTGTAACTTCCCTGCTTATTTAATATAAAATTAAATAGATTTTAGGGTCAAGTTTACACTTCCTAACCAGTTAGGATAGATTTAAGCCCAATTACCTTATTCGTCAGTCATATCTTGGGCCCAGTAAGTCCGTTTCTCAATCCATTTGTGCAGTCGGGTTCAGAACAGCAAGCCCTACAATGTAAGTCAACTCTCATATTAAATATGTATATTAGAAAATAAACTTCATATTGACCGACTCAGTAATTAATTAATTATATAAAGTAATTAGAAATACTAAGCTGGATTTTGAGGCATTACACTACATACACACAAGGCTAACATTAGAAACTCTAATACCAAGGGATCTCATCTGAAATTGGTATAAACCTGAACCGATATAAAATCGAATCGGTACAAACTCGAAGCAGTATAAATCCAAACCGATATAAACCCGAATCGATATAAACCCAAACCAAATCCTATCCGAAACTCGAAAATATCAAACTGAATGTAACCCGAAACCGAGTTGACCCAAACCAAACTGACCCGAACCGATTTTAACATATATCCGAAAGAGACCCAAACCGAAACCTAACCAATTGACCCGATTGCTAAGTCTAACTACAAGTGGTTTGTGGAAAGAAGTGAGAAAATTGACCTAACCGGTGTTCACCTAAACTTATTAAAAAATTAGACTAAAATCGTGAAACTCCCTTGCAATGACGTGATCTGATATAACAGTTTTAGGGGTAGTCAACCTTCCAAAAAAAGGTTCGGCTTTTTCCAAGTGTCGTGTCTTTCGAGCAATGAGATGATTGAAATTAGCTAATTTTTTCAATTAGGTGAAGGTTACTATGAGTTGTACGTGAAAGTCTTCTCGGTTCGATTTGTGAATAAGAAAGGTATAGTAAAGGGACAACGTTTCTAATTTTTTTTGAGGAAAATTCTAATTTGTTTTTAAGTCAATGTAAAATGGCAAAAATAAAAAAACTTATTTTAAACATCCATTAAAATAATTAAAATAAAAAAGTCATGAAATATAAAAAATTATTTACGGTACGGCGTACATAATTATTCACTTTAATTATCATATAAATTTTATTTTCAGATTTTATTCAAACAATTATTAGTCTAGGGCAATGTTTAATTAGTAAATTAAGTGTTGGCGTTGAATGAAATTTCAGCATCACAATGGCGACGAGCAGAGTGAAGAAGACTGGTAATAAAAAAAACAGAGCGCCCTTTGCAACGGATACAACATACGGGAGTACATGTTTGTCTTTTCTCATGCATGCATCATTGAGATAAAATCAGTTACGTTNCCCCCCCCCTCCCCACACACACACACATTCAGTCACAAGGTAACAAGGTCCCCCAAACTTGCGACACGGAAATAATTTCCCACTGCGCCTTCACCTTTCTGACAATCACACTAATGCCTCTTTATTTTTCACCAAATTGTACATGAGCACCATGTTAAGGCCAAGTGTTAGTACTACGTATTACTTACTACTCCCTCTACCCCCAATTAATCGTTTATATTGAAATCTACTCCTTCAATACAACAACAAACTTCTCATTTAGAACATGCAAAATTGCGGGTTACGGGGTAAAATTTTCTACTTTTTGAAATCATTTTATTTACAAATTGGTATATCAATAAAATATAAAAATTACATATTAAAAAACTACGTCAAAAGTTCTACAAAACAAGAGGTGACAAGAATATTTTATTTTATCAAATACTTAATGAAATCGCGTAAACAAACAAAAATTATCGAGAGGAGAGAGAAAAAAAATTGTAATCTATTTAGGGACGGAGGGAGTATTAGATATTGATACAAAAAGAGTTTTCTTAGATTTATTATATCAAATATTTTGAAAATATTATTTTATTTCATTAAAATACAATATATATTTTATTTAGTTATAGGTCAAACGTTGAAAACAGTTGACTGAAAAAAGTCAAAACTAGACAAATACTCAGGGACGGAGGTAGTACTTTATGTTAGAAAAGGAAATGTGACTTTACTTTTGAAACGCCACATTTGAAAAGTTTGACATTACTTATAGAACGAAAGGAGTATATTTTACTTACAATATAGTACTTATAATAATAATGCCAACATATAGTATCTAAAATCGTTGTATAATACTAATATATAGTATTTCATTGCGATAATGCAACCGTCGTATTCTAGAGCTAGATAAAAACATGACACTCCTATTCGAAGATAAAAAATAAGTTGTAATAATTTACTTAAATAGAACTAAAACATAATGACTTTCCCTAAATAGCATCACATGTGTTTTTTTCAATGTAGCACTTTTAGTCATTATGCATTGGTCATTATTCAAGTAAATATTCGTCATCACTGGACATTATTAAGTGATATTTAGGGAAGAAAATAGTTCAAGTCCTATTTAGAGAAATGACTTAAGTTTTTGTGTTATTTAGTGCATACATTTCTTCTTTTATTTTGTATTGACAAAGGAATATTATTAACCTACAAATCACATCACATCTATTCACTATTAATCTACCTATTAAATACTACTCCGTACTTTTACAATTTTACTCATCACATCCAAAAATATTTTTAGAAACTCATTATCAAAATATATTTCTCTTAAATCTCTAAAAATATAATCTCTCATGTTTTTAGGGAGGGAGGAAATATATTTTTTTTATAGCTATTTGAGTCTTCCGATTACGTATACTCAATAATTGCATATGCGTTTTAATTTCTTAAAAGATATTTTGTGACGTGATGTGGGCATGATAATATGACATGTTTCGCCCGGTTAAATCGGTTCGGCTAAATATGGATATAACTTTATTATATTTATTAAATACTCCGTATTCACTATTTATATGTATATTGTTCCATCCATGACGTAGCTAGCTAGAAATCCTAGAATAGTTATGCTTCTGATACGAGTTGTATCGCTCAAACGCTGCCGGAGTGAGAACCACACCGCCGTAGGAGTTCGGCGGCCACAGACGTAGGAAACCAGGGAAGGGAAATTAGGGTTTTTAAGAGAAGAGAGAGAGAGAGAATTTTAGGGAGAGGAGAAGTTGTGTATTATTGTCTAGTTATTTTGGGGTACAAGTCCGTATTTATAAGATGAAATTCCTCAAACCCTAGAACTAACCTGTCGGTTCAAGAAAAGCGACAAGGGAAAGAACCGAAAAGAAAACCCTTGAAGGAGCTTATAGACCGCTCTCCTAAAAAAAACTACGTTACATGAATGAAATTAAATAATACTAAAAAGTAAACATTAAACATAGTCGTCGTAGCGACGGGGCGGCCGTACCTGCCTCCGGGGTCTGTCCGATCCTGCTCCGTTACCACCCGGTGGCGCCATCGCACCCGTATCAACTCCCCCCCCGTTAAGGACGTCCTTGTCCTCAAGGCGAAGGTCTGGAAAGTGGCGCACCAGATCATCCTTTGGCTCCCACGTAGTGTCGTCGTTGGACCCCTCTGACCATTTCACCCGCCATTGTTCCTGAAGAGCACCGTCGACCATCACCGTACGCCTGTCCACAGCGGCCACTGGAGTTGCAACAGGCCGCCCCTTAAAGAATTGCGCCGGAAGAGAAACCTGCGGTGTATCGCCTGGCCTGCCCACAAATGGCTTCAACAAAGAAACATGGAAAACATCGTGGATTCGGCACCCATCTGGAAGACGCAAACGGTATGCTACCGCCCCCAGTTTCTCCAGAACTTCAAACGGACCATAATAACGGCGTGCCAATTTGGCGGAAAGAGGTCGGGCCACCGAGTGTTGGCAGTATGGTCGAAGCTTGAGAAGCACCAAATCCCCAACCGTGAATGACACCTCTCGACGATGCTGGTTTGCCTGGGACCGCATACGCTGCTGCATCTGTATCAAATGGCCACGAAGATCGGTTAACAGGTCCGCTCGCTCTCGCAACATCTCTTCTACCTCCGGTACTCGTGAACGCACTGCAATAGTCGGAAAGACGGATGGCGGAGGTCGACCATATAAGGCCTGAAAAGGTGACAGTCCCAACCCTTCGTGGTGACCACAATTTAAAGCAAGCTCTGCCCAAGAAAGAAAAACCGACCATTTCGTCGGGCGTTCCGAGACGAATGCGCGTAGGTATTGCTCCAAGTTCCGATTGAGGACCTCGGTCTGGCCGTCCGTCTGAGGATGATAGGCTGTGGAAAACTTGAGGGAAGTCCCACTCAATCGGAAAAGCTCCTTCCAAAAGTGGCTCATGAACACCGGGTCCCTGTCCGAAATAATGGACTGTGGAAAACCGTGGAGCTTTACGACGGTGTCAACAAAAAGTCCGGCTACCCGAGGCGCGTCAAACCCTGCTGCCAACGGCCCAAAATGCGCGTACTTGCTCAATCTATCCACAACCACCATAATGACAGAAAACCCCCTGGAAGCGGGCAACCCGGTAATAAAATCCATCGAGACTGATTCCCAAACTTGGACTGGAACAGGCAGAGGCTGAAGGAGACCGCCGGGCTTTTGAGTCGAGTATTTTGTGGATTGGCAGATCGCACAAGAAGCTACGAAACGACGAACATCGGCCCGCATGCCAGGCCAGGAAAATACTTGCGCCAACCGCCGAAAGGTGCGTTCCCGGCCTTGATGACCTGCGGCTGGAGTGGAATGGAACTCCTCCAGTAGGGCCGAATGTAATGAGGAAGTCCTGCCCAGGTACAGCCGCCGTTTGAAATATAAGAGCCCATCATGTACTGAAAAGTCCGGGGAAGCTGTGCCGGCCGTAACTGCTGCGTGGAGGTCCTGGAGTTCCGGTAGGGACTGGTTTTCCAACCGGAGGTCGCGCATTAGGAGAGGCAAGGGCTGTACCAGAGCCATGAAGAGACCCGCCAAGTCCTCCTCTTCGTCCCGACGTGATAAGGCATCCGCCGCTTTGTTTGTCGCCCCCGTTTTATATTCAATCCGAAACTTGAATCCCATTAGTTTTCGAACATAAAATTGTTGATCCGGTGTTTGAACCACTTGCGAGACTAATTCCTTCAAACTGCGTTGATCCGTGCGAATGATAAACTCTCGACCGAGAAGGTATTGCCGCCACTTTTGAATTGCTTCGACAATTGCGTACAGTTCTTTGTGATAAGTCGACGCCGCCCGTCTCTTAATACCCAATTTCTTGCTGAAGAAAGCCAAGGGGTGCCCATTTTGCATGAGGACCGCCCCGATCCCGAATGAGGACGCATCAGTCTCCAAATAGAAGGGTTGTGTGAAGTCAGGGAGACGGAGGACTGGGGCGGATGTCATCGCTGCCTTAAGGCGGGTGAAGGAATCCTCGGCCGAAGGTGTCCAAACAAAGCTGTCCTTTTTGAGCAAATCCGTGAGGGGGGCGGCGATTGAAGCATACCCCGCGATGAACCGGCGGTAGTACCCCGTGAGCCCGAGGAACCCGCGTAGTTGCTTAACCGAGGACGGTGTAGGCCAGGCCACCATGGCCGAAATTTTGTCGGGGTCCGGTTTGAGCACGCCCTCTGTGATGAAATGACCCAGATAACTAATGCAAGAACACCCAAAAGAACACTTGTTGGCCTTGACATAAAATGAGTGATTACCAATGATGCGGAGGACAGTCAAGAGATGGTCGGCATGCATATCAACGGAGGTGCTGTAGACCAAAATGTCGTCGAAGAAGACGATAACAAACTTGCGCAAATAGTCTTTATTTTGCAGAGACTCGCGAGCAATATTCTAATCTTGTATTTTGCAGAGACTCGCGAGCACCATGCAAAATATATTCTCTAAATTTAGCATTATATAAAAACTTAAATTAAAAAATATATATGAATATGGTAAAGAGCCTGTTTGGGAATAGCGTTAGCGTTTTGAAAATACTATCTACGGGCAGCGTTTATCGTTAGCGTTTTCAAATTAATCTATGTGAATAGCTTGTTGACCATTCGTGCGTAGGTCGCTCCGGCATTCTTCAACCCAAATGGCATTACCTTGTAACAATAAACACCGTTCGGTGTAATAAACGATATCTTCTTCTCATCCACCAGGACCACCACTGACATCGTGATCTGGTGATATCCGCTAAACGCGTCCATAAAGCTCATGAACTCACACCTCGCCGTCTCATCCACCAATTTATCGATATTGGAGCGAGGGAATGGATCCATTGGGTAGGCTTTGTTCAGGTCGGTGTAATCGACGCACATCCGCCAAGTATTCCCTTTGGGTGCAAGGACCACATTAGCAAACCGTTCTGGGTATCGAACCTCCCGGATATGCCCAATGGACTGCAGGGTACTCACCTCCTTTGTTACAAAATCCTTCCTTTCCGAAGAAAGGAAACGCTTCTTCTACTTGACCGGCTTGTGCGCAAGGTCCACCACTAACCTGTGGCAAATGATTCGTGCATCGACCCCAGGCATCACTACTACAAAAACGACCAAATAATCACCACATTTGCATCGGTCCGCGAAACAAACGATTTAAATGAAAAAAAATTCGCGTATCAGTAATCATTTGCATCGGTTAAACGTAATAATTGATTCACATAGTAATAACCGATTCAAATCCCTAAGCTCTTGAATCGGTTATTACCAAATAACCGATTCAAATACTTCTCCCTAGAAATGGCGCCATTTCTGGGAAGGAGCTTTTGCATCGGTTCTTTGGTAATAACTGATTCAAAAAGCCTCTTCCCAGAATTGGCGCCATTTCTGGGGAGGGCTTTTGCATCGGTTTTAACAACCGATGCAAAAAGTAACCTGAGTATTTGCATCGCCAACTTTTGCATCGGTTCAAAACCAATTTAAAAAGGTCAAAATAACCGATTTAAAAGGTCTTTTTTGTAGTAGTGCATGTCTTCTGGACCCCATGCAAATAACACCTTGAATGATCAAAGGACACTTACCAACTTTCCCTTCTTCAACGAGAGCACCAATTTGATGGGCAATAAATCCACCAAATAATTCGATATGAACAGCGGATTGTAAGAATTGTCAAGAAACAAGAACTCGAGAATTATGGAATTATACGCTAGGTTTAGCTTGAGGTTTCCCGTTCGGGTCCTCATTGTTTATACATATCCTCTACATAATTTAAGTAATTTACAGTTTATGGGACCTAATTCGAGATTCACGCGATCCCTTTACTTCGGCTTCTTTTCCGCAACCTAGCCGCTTCTTCTTTTCCACTTCGAATTTCCCAGGCTGCTTTAGTTCGAGTCAATCCAGGCCCAAGCCTTTGGGTCGGCCCAAGATCAGCACTACATGCCAATGGGTACCCGAACGCCTTTTGGGGCACGGGACTTGGGCCGCTATCGGCCCATCACACAGTAGTCTGATGTTAAAATTGGCGCAATGTGACCTTATTGAACCAATCTTAATTTCCATACCCTGCATATACATACATATATATATATATATATATATATATATATATATATATATATATATATATATATATATATATATATATATATATATATATATATATCTATGTGTGTGTGTGTCTATATTTACTTCAAAACTACTCATATTTTTATAAGATAATCCGCTACTGTGATGAACTTAATCACTAATTAAATGAAAATTGTGTTGCTTATTCAATATGCAGCATAAAATAGTGATGCTTGGTTGGCCGTGAAAAAAATGTAGTGCAAAAATGATATTTAAAAATTTGTTTTTCGAACAACTATTTTATTATTGAGTAAATTCTATAATTGGTCCTTTATAACAGGGGGGTTTCCCTATTTAGTCCTCTATTATCAAATATTACCCAAGTGGTCCTTTTTTATGGGTACCTTTCCACAAATAGTCCTTTTTTTGATCTTCTATCATGTTGGTGTTAATTTGAGGGCTAAAAGTATAATTTCACAATGATAATATATTTTTTTTGTCATACACAGTTCCAAAGGCTGTTCCGTTTGCGTCGTTTGTGAATTACAGTCGCTTTTTACGACAACTATAGTCTACAAATGTGATCTTTCGTCATAATCCTAGCCCACAATCATAGTCATTATTTTTGTGTTATCCGCTTAACCAATATCAGAACACGTCACTAGACATAATGTTGACGTCAAATTATACTTTTAGCCTTTAAATTAACACCAACACGGCAGAAGATCAAAAAAAGGACCATTTGTGGAAAGTTACCATTAAAAAAAGGACTACGGGGGTAATATTTGATAATAGAGGACTAAATATGGAAACCCCCCTGCTATAAAGGACCAATTATGCAATTTACTCTTTATTATTCGTATTTAATTTGATGCATTGTTAATTTAAGGGAGAAGTACCGTCATAGCACTAAAATATACTTAAAATACCCAATATAGCATTGTTATGTGATATTTGAACTTGTGTGGATGTAATTCCAAATTCGTCCTTTCATTCCACACTGCTAAAAAATGTGTTTAAATTGGTATACACTTCAAGAACATGGACATAAGACACTGCTTCGTCATACCCAATATAACATGTATCTGCACTGCCAAAAAATATATATATTTCTAGAACATGGGCATAACAGACTGCATGAAAGTGTAGGCATAACATGACATTCTACATTGCCAAAAAAGCTGGTATACACTTTCAATTTCGTTTATTTAATGTGTTTAAGCAGTGAGGAGTGACACGACGGTTCAAAATGCTACGTAATAGGAATGAGATTAACTTCCTAAAATTGTAGGTCTCAATAAATATGGTAAATGACATTATTAAAATAATGCATTATAATAAAAGGATATGTTTGGAAGAGATTCACACCATAAATAGTCAAATGTGTAAAAAACAATAAGAAGTGTTTGCTATATGTGTAATATCGGGTGTAGAGTACTACATAGGGTGATTTCTATTATGTGTTTGACACATTTTTTAAAATGTGATTTTTCCTGAATGTACAATTATTATTTTGGGAGGGGTTAATTATTAGTTGGTTAATCTCCTACCGACATGCATAAAGTGAACAAGTTATGGTGAGATTAAAAGGCTAGCTACATCCCCATGATATAACACCGAATATATACGATCAAAATGATTGGAGTGCTCCAATATTTTTTTAATCTTTTGCTTTTTACTGAACTTTGTACTAAACGAACATTAGAAGAGCAGTTGGACAACTCCGATGAGGACCCTCCATTCCAAACGCAACCTAAAAATAATGGCCCTTTGCACATTGGTTGAACCTGCATCCTCCCATAAAGTGTTAAGGAGCATGGCGGCCGGATCTACTTCGTTTGGGGGAGTGTTACTCCCATTTCCCATTTAAAACTAGTTTCTCAATTCCCTTTATTGTTTCTTCTAATTTGATTATTTATGGTCAATATTTTTAAAATATATACTCCCTCCGTCCCGGAAAACATGAGAGTTTTGATTTTGAAGGAGGATTTAAGGGGAGTGTATTTTGGTATTGAATTTTCAAAAATGTCCTTTGATGTGATGAGTAAAAGTATGATTTGATGGATAGATAATTAGTAAAAAGGTATGATGTGATAGGTAGGGTATGAAAATGTAAGGGGTAAAATTGACTTTTTAATAGAAATGAAAAGTGTTTTTTGGGACGGATGAAAAAAGAAAGGAGAAAGGCTTTCTGAGACGGAGGGAGTACTTCGTAAAAAATTAAAATTTAGGCTTCAAACTACGTGAAAAAATATAATGAATCGTGATGTAAATTTAAAATCAATATGTACGTTTAAATAAAGTTTCAAATTTTCAATTTTATATTGGAAAAAATATCTAAACTAATTCTAACTTTACTTCATCTTTCAAAAATAATCTCTTCTTTCACTGTAATGTATAATAATCCCAACTTTACTCAAATTTGCGAGTTTTGGGCCGCCGTTAAGTAGTTAACGGCGGTTTAATGGAACGGCCTGTTTTGCGCAACAAAATGAAAATTAGCATTATTTTTGGTAAATTTTTGTTTTAAATTTTTTTGAATTTTTATTTAAATTTTTAAAATAACATTCTACATCAATTTCTTTTTTTAAATATTATTCTTATATGATAGAAAATAAAACAATAAATATAAAAATATCAAAAATGAGAAAAATAACCAAAACCATACAAAATTAATTTAATAAATAAGGTAATCAATAAAAATTAAACTTAAATTGAAAAGAAACAAAATAAAAATATAAAGAGTGGGGTGCTCTACAATTTTACGCACTATAGAGAGTATTAATGTACTACTTAGTTTTTGAAAGAATAGCTAAATTTAGGATTATTCTAGATAATTTTTTTCTAAAAATAGTAGATTAATGCTTTGTATAGTGTGTAAAATGTTAAAATCCACAACTCTACATACTTTTATTTTATTTCTTACAAGTTTCAGGCTAATTTCTATTGATTACTATTTTTCCATTATCTTTGTATGATTTTAGTAATTTTTCTCATTTTCATTATATTTATATCTATTTTTTATTTTTATCCAAAGTTAGACTAATATTTAAAAAACTATAAATGATGGAGGTAAAAAGTAATTTTAAAAGTTTAAATTAAAATTTCCAAAAATTTAAAAAACAACAATTCATCAAAATACTCTCAACTTTCATTTTATTGCACAAAATAAACCGTTTCAGTTAACTCGCCGTTAGTAACTTAACGGCGATCCAAAATTCGCAAATTTTAGTAAAATTAGGATTATTGTGCATCACAGAGAAAGGTGGAATTATTTTTGAAAAACCAAATAAAGTTGGGATTATTCTGGATAATTTTCCTTTTTTTATTTATTATATATACTCTCTCCGCCTCTAAAATAATTTTCTTTGCACAAAACAGAGCAAAATACAAGTTTTTTCAATTCCATTCTTTAAAAGTCAGGTTGGTATAGAAATAAAAAATAAACTTAGAAATTTTAAAACTACA